AATTCAGTATTTTTAAAGCTCCTAATTGTCACATCATATTGGCTAGACATATTTCAGTGGACCAGAGGGATTTGCACAAGCTGAAAATCTGGATACATATATCAAGTTACAATTTTCCCCCGCCTACAATTACATTCTTTAAATAGGCAATATGGGAGTAGCCTCATATTTTGCTGTTAGTCTCTCATCAGTTATATTCAGTTTCTATTATTCCCATACTATACAAGTCTTATTTTCATCAAAAAATGAATGCAAGGCCTTATTTTTGAAGACAGATGGGTTTTTGAAGAGCACTTTGAAACAATTCTTCTTCAGAACTGTTCTTATTTCCATTTTTATTAGAGTTATTTGCATAGGAAGAGCAGATTCTGCTGCAGCTGTGCTTGCTGTAATAGCTAATCTGCTGTCAATCGGACATCATCACTTGCGCAACACCTACCACAACGTGACACCAATTCCTTCTGTAGGTGTGACAGCAATATGCCTGATTAATAAAATGGTGGGGAATTGTCTCCATGCCTCAGAATTGTTCATAATATTTTCTATAAATCAGGAAGGTCAAATCAGAAACAAAAAGCAATGATTGAACTGCCATTGTAATCAGGGAGCATTTCTTGTACTTTAAGTTGAGGTGTTTTCTGCTTTCTTGAAGTGATTTTCAGGAAGTTCTGTTGTGCATTGGTTTCAAAACCAGCAATAGAAAATATGCTTAGTGTTCTGGGAAACTGTAAATAAAGGCTTTCAGTATATAGTTCTTATGCAAACAAAATTAATTATGATTTGAGACGAGGAACAAAAGCAAAGAAGGCAGCAAATGTCATTTTATATGGGTGTGCAATAATAAAAATAATAGTAAAAATAATAGAGGAATATACGAAGTTCATAAACAGCTTAGAAGGTCACTGGAAATGTTGCAAGGAAGATCTGTATGATGATATTCAAGCATTCTTATGCTTTGGCAGTTAACACAAACAAGGTAAATAGCTAAAAGCTGGCTATCAGGATGGCCAGCTATAAAGAGAAGAAGCCAAAACTGCAATATATGACAGTAAGTGTTATATGGCACAGTTAAAATCTGAATCCAAATTTGCATTTAGGCTGCAGTTTGAGACCCATTAGTGAAGCAGAGTTGAGCAGAGAAGTTCATTTCTGTCTTCCCTCCAAGTGGTTTGGGATGAAATGCTTGTGGTTGTCTTCACATCCTTCTGGAGGGCTCCAGCAATTTCAGTTATCCAGACTCTATAGAATGGATGTCATAGTCTGCATTTCATTCCTCACATAAAAGTGAGGTATTTCTTTGGTGTTTTATGTGCATCACTAAAGAAATAGCTATACAGATATGGTGTTTTTAAATGACATGCTGTATAGACTGTTTATGTCTCTACCTTACCCCAGTGTATTTCTAATACAAAAGTATTAGAAATTAGTTTTAGTATTTCTATTTTCTAATCAGCATTAGTATTTCTAATACAAAAGGAGCAAAAAGAAAGGACTTTAAATATCTACCTTCCTTCCTACGGAAGCAGCCATCATTGCTTTGCAACTATCCAGAGATCCTGGAAAACAGCCTAGGAGCAGGGATTCTTTTCAAAAGAGAAATTCCTCAAAAAGAAGAGATTGATAGTAGGATTGATAGGAGAGAGGTACAAAGTAGGAGATAAATGACATCATTGTTTGCATCTGTCTTAGGTAAGTGGTAGAAATGGGAGCTGCATACCATATTTCCCTAAATAGATATTGAATACTGACATCGTCCCTCACAACA